TTCCATTTCGCACATATTTGAGAACTTTCTCTTTGCTGATTTTCTTCATACAATTCTGACACGATTCTGACACAAGTCTGACACAATTCTGTTGTTATTTCATGGTTAGAATGAGCAGGGGTTGGGGTTTGGTGGTAATGGTAGTCCGCTGCTGCGCTTGCCTAATACAAAAAATAGTGTGTATATCGCTATTGAATTTTCGTTTGCAAAAGTTGAAAAACGAAACATTCGAATCTTGATTTACAATATTATACTATTCCTACTCCAGTGGTACCACCACCTATACTGAAATTTAATTTCCTGTCATTCAAATACTTAGCGGGAAACCGAAAGATACTCTGACAGTTCTGACTCATGTGATCATCAGGCTGCAACATCGTGTTGTTCAATCTTTCACCAACAGGAACTATAAACAAAGATGCAAAACCTTCCATTGCAGTCCTAACTCGAATAAGACCACCGTCCTGAGGTGAAAAATAACTAACAGCAAGGAGAAGATGGATAAATCAGGTTAAGTTAGCATCAAAGTCAGTGCGAATAAATCAAAATCTTGACATAACCCCTACTAGAAGATCCAAAACTAGTCGAAAATATAGAACTTCAGCCAAGGAATCAACAAGGTACGTATCTAACTGTAACCATGGGAGGTACTCGTTTGCTTTGAAAGTTTTCGAGCTGAAATGTTTTTCACTCTTTCATTCGTTCCAGGTCAACAGTTTACTGCTTCAAATCACTGTGAAGATAACAGAAAGGATATCTCAACAACTGGACACCTTCATCCAGGTAAGTTCAATCAAATTCCTTTATATTCATCAACTTATTAATCTTTGTTTACTTTCAGGTATCTTCAAGTCTTCCAGACTATAATAAACTGGTAGAGGCCTATAGATGTCCCATAAAATGAATGATATATGAAGTAGTATAAAGTGTATTTTCAAATAAATAAAGGATATTATACAGAGTGAGCAAGAGTGAGCATATCATAGTAAAGGTGCCATTTCATTATCTTTAAACACTAGAAATCAATATTTATGGTCTGGTATCTTTATGTTGGTAAGTTTTTCATTTATTTTGAGATTCTACACTAGATATACCATAATATGAAAAAGACTGATTTTCATGTTACAAAGCCATTGATTTGTAGTGGACTGTAGTTTGTTTTTTAATCAGGCTGAATCAATCGTGGGAAAGTTTTTCCTACTTTAAATAGTTGAAATGTGCACTATTCCAGATAATCCAGATTCCAGGGCTGCTCCAGCAGTAAAATTTTTTACGCGAACGCGGTGCACTGTAAAACACGGGTTTGTAACCACTATTATAGGTTTTTTTTGATCGATTTGATCTGAGGAGTGAACTTCGCACTCGATTCTGCTGTTTTTGTTCGTCGCGTCTCTCTCTGTTATGTTTCTTCTCCCAGGGGTCGCTGTCCACAGGATCGGAAGTACTTTCATGAACGTGAAACGGCGGTAAAATTCAAAAGGCCTTCTTTGTGTACTAAATATATAGGGGGTTTATTGACTAACTATATTATGAAGGCTATACAAACTAAACTGAAGACAAAAAGAAGGATGAAAACGTTCATAGACATTGTTTTGATTAGCGACCCTGACACACCACGTAATTGTTGGCCAAAAGGTGAAGTAGTTGAAATTCATCTTGACAAAGACGAGAAAATCCGGGTAGTAGATGTGAGGATGGCAAGAAACACAATACTCCGAAAACCCGCGTCAAAATGATGTTTTCTTCCAGTAAAATCCAGGATTGAAAATGTTGATTGAATTGAAGATTTTTAGGTTACACTGTTGAGTAATAGTTTAAAAACGTTAATGTGAACAATTACTGAGGGGGAAAATGTTGCGTCTTCAATTCATAATTTCAAGAATATCCTTCGGAAAGTGTGAAACTTCTGTATTTTGTCCATTTTTGTTATTTAAAAAATGATAGACTTTGACAAAGAATTGAAGGATAAATATATAGTTTTCGTTCTTCGTAGCCGGATTATTATTGAATTATCCTTTACGGGTAAATGTTATTACGAACAATATCAGGCGTGTTTGTGCTTTCAGGACTTCAAGGTGCTTTTTATAAATAATAATGATAAGATAAATTTTGCAAGATTTTCCCGTATCACTGAGAAGTTTGGGGAATATGGAAATTCTGGCACTATATTCATTCATTGAAATACAAATCTCACGAATTTTATGAATGTAATTCAAATTTCACTGAATTCTAATTTTTGTGATTTGAATAGCTATGGTACCATAATGTTTAAGCCTGTTATAGGATTGTGCATTCTTTCTCTATTTATTTCCTGTGTTATTTGACTTATGTCATCGTCTGAAAACTGGAAAAACTATCTCATGCAAGTGAAATGCAAAATAAAATGCATGACTGGTGGCTGCTACCAGATTACATCTATTGTGTTGCACTTTCTGTGCTCTGTCAAGGTTTCTTGTTCATCCAGTCCCTCCAACTATCTAGTTTTCTAAGGAATCTGAGGATATTTAGTCGATCTGTGTGTGGCATTTCCCTACTTTATAGCTCATGCGATCCCAGATGTTTGGATTGTTTGTGATATACAGGTGATTGACTATGGATGTCACGACTTTGAAAGCTGATATTTCTAAAACCAAAAAATATATTCGAAATGGAAAACGGGACTTGAATGAGATGTTGTTTTATTCCAGAAAATGTTTATCCCTCTTTATTTTATCATTTCATATACAGGGTATATAGTCTTCTATAGGATATATGGAAAGTATATATTTCGAAACATGCGATAATATACAGGGTATATGTCTGAACGGAGACAATAGGATTGCTTCCTGGTCAGTTGATATAGAAATAACATGGTATTCACTACTGAAATCTGAAAATGGTTAATTCAAGATTAATTAATGAAAACATCCTGTAACTCATTTGATTGCCAACGTCACCAATTGTCACTGAGAACTGAAAAGTGTCAAGACAAATACGAATTTGCTATTCAAATATCCATTTTTTATGTTGAAAACGGAAGCAGATTCGTTCCCGAAACGTCCATAGCTAAGTGAAAATTTGATATTTTTTCTATATACCTTTATTTCTCTTCTCTTTTCAATTCAAATTGTCATTGACAAGCTATTGAATTTTTCTTTTAGGCTCTCTGATTTGAAAATTCTTTGAGTGCAGTGACATTTTGGGGCAAATTATCTGATTTGTCCTTACTCCACGTATATTGAAATAATATTTATATTTATATTTTATAGAAACGAGGAGAAAAAATCCCAAAAAATCTGGAATAAGGAATGTACCACCTCCTCGATTAACCTACAGACAATATTTTTCAAATACCCTGTTTATGAAATGAGAAAATGCTTGACAATTTTTTAGTTTGTATTTGGTTCTTTTAATGATAGAAAACAAAGTTTAAGTGTATGAATAAGGATCGGAATGATGGTAAATGTATTAGTACGTCGAACTTTTTCAGCTTTGTTAATGGTTCCATGGGCGCCGGCAGTGTAAGGGTTCACTTGCACTCCCGTGTCCGAAAAGGGTGATTGAAAACTTCAAGGTTTTAGGTTACTGTTCAAATTTGTTTGTTAATTGTCATAACACACATGTATAATTATCTAAAATTAATATAATATAATAATAGTATAGCGTTTAGATGTAGATACACCTCCCTGAAAGTGATCCTGGTGGCGCCCATGGATGATTCACAATATTGTGGATATAAATAATGGTTCAACAAATTGCAAAGTTCTCGGGAAGAAACGGTTTGTTATAGTATCAGTTTATCTGGTCGTGGGCCCACCATGTACTCACGGCGTCGGGGTGGGCTCAGGTGATTCCAGACACCACTGGTTAAAAGCTTGAGGTCCCCACTCTTGTCATGGTAGCGGTACGTGGGAAAGGCCGCGAACTGACACCCATCAAACGGGACTAGAGGATTCCGGTCGACATGGGTAGCTGGGCTTGCTCAGCGAAAACTGGAACTCTGGTGTACCTAGTGCCTGAGTTCGTCAGGGAGGGGGCAGCCCCAAGCGTATCCTACCGCCAGTCATCGTAGGCAAAGCCGGGTCCTCTCCTGTAAACGAGGTAGAGGAAAGTGTAAAAGTCCTCGAACGATCACTCATTCAACGGGACGAGAGGATTCTTGTCAACATAAGTAGCAATAGGCCAAAGCCTCTTGCGACGGCAACCCATCAAACGTAACAAGAGGAATCTTGTTGACATGGGTACCTGGAGTGATGAGGATAGCCCCATCAGGCCGTACATACGGCCTGGTGCCTCACCTATTGGGTTGGACTCCAGGGGGCAGCGGTTTCCAAAAACACCATCGGACTACGGCAGAGGAGGTGAAGAAGAATCTCTCTATGGGTCAAGTGGGAGGATATCTTGCCTGTCTCGACGGGTGAGCAGCGTTTCTGCTCGGGCACTGACAATAGAGAGCCAGTAGTCTGTCTTATCAGACGGCCTCGCCATTGGTATAATAAAATGGTAGCAGGAGAACATGCCGTTACATAACGGAGATGGCTCTAGCGCGCTGATTTGGCGTACCCGAACCCTCCATTTCTCCCTGGGGTGCTGTCGGTAAAGTCGAAAGATAGGGACCGGCAGTCATCCCTATGGGAGTCTTGTGAGAGGGGGAGGTAATTGGTCCCACCCGATTGCTACCCCGGCAATACAGATTATTATTTTCATTATAGTATCAATTCATCAATTTATATTAATTAGGATCAAGATCCTATGTTTTTTGCCCTCTCTATATTCAGTGGCAATAAAAATATGATTTTTTACTTTGTATTCATTTGTTTTCTTTTACGAATTAACGTATATGAAATAAAGGTGAATAACTTCATCAGCAGCCATGATATCTTCGTTTCACAATATATCTCGTCGTTACCTTCCGAGTTCTGATCTCAGACAAGAGGCTTTGAAATGACAACTTTCTGAATGATAAAGAAATGTTTTGTTGATGAAGGTATATACCATAACCAATTTTTCCTACTTTTCAGGAATCCAGCTGTGAAAATGTTATCCAAAGAGATATAGCTCGTACTTTTCCAGCACACGACTTCTTCAAAGAAGCTGGCGGTCTAGGCCAGGATTCTCTCTATAGAGTTAGTAAAGCATATGCAGCATATGATTCAGAAGTTGGATACTGTCAGGGATTAAGTTTTTTAGCAGCTACCCTCCTTCTACATGTAAGATCAAATAACATTTGCGAATATCTGGTTGTTTCAATGATGATTTTTTTAAGATGCCTGAAGAACAAGCTTTTTGCATTTTGGTGAAATTGATGTATGATTATGGTCTGAGAGATTTATACAAAGATGGCTTCGATAATCTATATCTTAGACTCTTTCAACTGAATAAGCTTATGGAGGAACAACTCACTCCACTGTGGGATCATTTTGTTGAGCATCATATTGAGACCCATATGTTTGCTTCTCAGTGGTTTTTGACATTGTTCACTGCCAGGTTCCCCTTGTACTTTGTTTTCCATATCATAGATATATTTTTATTACAAGGAATCGATACACTGTTTCAAATAGCTCTCGCTTTATTGATGGTAAGTTTGATTATTGTGAGTGTACAAATGAAATCAACTTAGTCCCTATTTCTATGCCATTTTACACATTTTAGAATCATTTAATTTAATTTATCCAATGTTCAAGTGAACAAATACTAAAAATGTATAGTGCAATACCATATTGAAATGAACATGGACTTTTAATACAGAATACTATACAGGCTGGTTCATGAAAACCATTGGTGAGTTGAATTGGTAGTTTGAACTGGTATAGTTTTTTGAAATTTGGCTCAGCTTAAATATCTCCTAGCACTTCCGCTTATATCGGGTGAGTGAAATTCGAGCATGGGGATCTCGGAAAAGTTGCGCAATTTAATGCATAAACAAAATGCCGTTTTGAAATTTAAAAAATTCCGAATACTTCGGAAGATTTTTGAAATATAAACAAATATTCGCGATTTCACTTTTATTTCTTCCTGACTTTATTTGAGTGGATGTAACAAAACAAATCGCTCATTCTCATTGCTACTTTTTCTGTTCTACAAGATGGTGTATTCGGAATTCTAATTTCAAGACGGCCTAAAATTGCGCAACTTTGCCTCCATTTAACCCTCTCTGTAGCTCTTACCGTTTCCGAGATCCCCATGCATCTACTCGCATCTCACTCACCCGGTATAGCTTCTCAAATTTTCTGGTAAGATTGAAAAGGAATCATATCTTTTATATCATGGTATGTTATTTAAATGAAATTCTCTTCTTCCTCAAATGCAGAATTTATAGTAGGTTCTTCCCAAACTAATAAACCCTTATCACGATTTCTGTAATATAAATGATGCAGACTATCTAGCATTTGAATTTACCGTCGTTAAAATGCAATAATGCAAAGGTAGAATTGATGATTGTTTTTAGACGAAAGTTGCCTCGGTCAGAAAATGCGGTGACGGTTAACGAACTCAATATGGATTCTGATTATATCATGAAATATAGGTTGCTACATCTGATATAAGTACTAGGAGTTCGTAAATATTTCAGCTGGGAAGCTCTCCATCCATCCCAACATTCTAAAAAGTTGACCAATTAATTGAATCTTCTGAATCGGCTAACTAACAGTTTTCATGAATTAGTTTGTATAACGCAAAATCATCAATCACGAAATTATAAGTCTCATTTCTCGTATACAGGGTGGCATTGAAATAAGTGCAAATATTTCAAACCCTGAGAAAGCTCGACGTATACTTTCGAATGGTACAAATGAAAAAATCTAGGGATCAAAATAAAATTTGGGGTGAGATCCCTTTTTCCTCCCAAACTTTCTGCACTGTAGCAATTATGACGTCATCTCTCTTCGAATTTTCGTGCGGAAGGCACAATCACGCGGAGTTTCAATCATTTGAAGTGGCATACTTGATTTTTCCCGTTTTTTGTTTGATTTTCGGTATGAAATATCTCTAATTGAAAGAAATAGAAATAATCAGGTATGGAAATATTCGTCAGACTATTATATCGAGTTGCTGAATATATGTGCTTATTTCAAAAACACCCTGTATAGCATGGAAATATGGAGCGTTTGACATACCGTAAAACGGGGTGAATCGCACCTTTGAGGTTTCACAATTTTCGCCGTAGACGCATGAATAATAATTATTATTTTACTCTATCCGAATTTTTTTAGTTTTTTATACCACTATTTATTTCTTTATATTTGTCATACCTTAAATTGGTAATGGTACTCAAGAACTAGGTAACCTAATACTAATGACATGTCAACTACTTTTTTTGTAAATCAAAAATTATACAACAAAATAAACTTCACGTCAAACTTTCATCAGTCAAGGGGTGATAAATAGTTATTTATACACTAAGGTAGTAAATAATAGGGGTATAAGGTCCCGTGGTAATAATATACATCACTACCAAGGTTAATATTGAATTTGTTTTCTCTAGTAGCAATATATTTCAATCATTTCAGTTATGTGAAACCGAAATATGGACCTATTGTCACTATGCATGCACTTATTTTCAATACTTAGCCATGACTATGACAGCATATGACCAGTCGTTATTGATAAATACCTACTAGATTCGAGTGCCATTCCTACGAATCTCTGATCAGAACAGTACATTCGGGTTAATTACAACAGAGGTGGCTATGTCTTTATTGGCTAGTGGTTTATAAAATGACAAAAACTACCTCTGTAATAAAAACACATTTTAGGGAAAGGTGTTGGAAAAAAATAATTACAATTATCAATGCTCTAATTGACCTTCATTTCTAGTTCTAGTTGCATTGGGAAAAAAAACGAGGTATATTGCGAAAAGTCTTTAATATTCGAAACCTCAGGATTCATAGATTCTAGGGATTCAATACAGCTCCATACAAGCTTGGAATTCATCTTGCAGGAGTTCAGTGTTCTAAGAGCTTACCGAGATTGACAGAGTTATCCGTCTTCGATTTTCTGCTGAACACACCGGCTCCAACTCCAAGAGGAGTTTTCGAACCATCTGTGTACATTACGTGTTCGATCTCTGGGAATTGGATTGATCCACTTACCCACTCGTCTCTCTTCGGGAAGAGTAATTTGAAAGACTTTTTTACGTGTGTCTGAGTTGCAACATGTCGGGAACCATTCCTAGAGCTTGGTGATTTTTTATTTCACACAGTATCCCAGAGTAGTCGAGCAGTCGCCCCCTTGATTTTTTAGTGACAGGAATCTGTAGGAAACCATCTTGGCTTCCCTCTTCAAGACAATGTGGAGGGGAGTGAGGTTCAGGAGGTTTTCTATCGCTACCGTTGGAGTAGAGGACATCGGCCCTGTAATGGCCAGGTATGCCAGCCGCTGAAGACCAGCAAGCTTTCCCTGGCTTTTCCCTGCAGACCTTTAGTCCACCAGACTACCGAGCCATACGTGACCATGGGTTTTACCATTGTTTGGTAAACCCAGTAAATCTGTTTGGGGTTCATTCCCCTGATTTGCCGCATACACTTCTGAGGTTCCAGAGGGAGAATCTGGCTTTGTTAATAGTTTTTGCCGTGTGGGCGCTTCCAGGTGCGCCTTCAATCTAGGGTGACCCCTAGGTATTTCACCTCCGCCGCAAACCGAATGCTCTTTCCATATAGGTCAGGCTGACAAAGCTTATCTAGCTTTTGTCTTTTGGTAAAAGGGATCATTATCGTTTTCCGGGGGTTCACTGACATCTGCTCCCTCTCGCACCATCTGTACACAGTATTAAGGGCTTCTTGTAGGCCGTTTGAGATCCTCGCTACAAATTTCCCTCTTACTATTAGGACTAGATCATCTGCATCGCATTGGAAAACCACCCCTTGCATGAAAAGACGTTCAGCAGAGAGTCAACTAGGAATGACCACATAAGGGGGGAAAGTACCCCGCCCTGTGGCTGTGGACAACCTGTTGCCGCTCTAAACCTGATCGACTTTCCATGCACTGATGATATGACGTATCGATTTCCAATCATGGTTTTGATCCAGTTGCATGTTTGCTGATTCCTCTACCTTACATTGCCATATAGAGTTATTGTGGTAGGGCATTATTGAACGCTTCTTCTATGTCCAGGAAAGCTGCCAGAGTCATTTCCTTATGATCTAAGGAATGGCTAATCTTTCCTACAAGATTGTTCAGTGCTAAATCCGTTGATTTGCCTGTTTGGTAGGCATATTGATGGGGATTTAGAGGATGTTCCCTCGGATTCCTCTCTCTAATATGCATGTCTAGAATATTATTATCATTATTATTAAATATGGGTTGAAAATCACTTCGGATTCCAAATGAGGACGTCCGATTCTCTTAATTATTCATATTTTTCCTGAAAAAAATTTCAGTTCTAAAAAATTGAATTACATGATTTGCTTGCATTTTTTGCTGTGACGTACGGTTTTAGGAAATATCATACCACGTTTGGAATATAACAAAATAGAATATATTTTATATAAATCATTATTAATTCTTTAAAAACCAAAAAAATTCAAAATCTAGTATGTAAAACGTCATATAAAACTTCAATAGCCACAACCAACCTTCGATAAATTATGATGTGAAATTAGCAATTTTTCGGTGCATCTATGAAAGGTGCATACTAATAATTCCAATCAGAATGCATTATCTGAAAAATCACCAAAGCAACCTATGTATTTTAGTGGACTCTTTTTTCTCTTGGGTACCCAACAGCGAATTGAATCGGAAATTTTTTTGGCGTTTTAATGACAGAATAATTCCATTATTTTCTTTCTCTTGTATAAAATGGAAGAATAAAATATCTAACATTCCAAACTGGTATTTTCTTGCAACTACAATTACATTTTACGGACATTTCACTCAAAATCGGCAGTGAGTTCATATTTTCATTACACCATAATGAAAAATTTCCATTTCTTATCAACTACAGAAACTGTGGTTATAACGGAATCTTTTCATTTATAGTTCATATAGCATTTCCATAGTGAATTATTTATTGTATCCATGTTCTCTGATATTTAAATATTTTTGATAAGGTGAAATCTTCATCGTCATCTTCATCATCACCCACTGATTTAGTCAAAGAGCACCTCATCAATAAGCACTTTTCCCAACACGAATATCCTGCTTCGGTCGAATACCAAAGCAAAACCGAAGCTTCAATGCATCTGTAGTTCCAACATTATATCAAATGTCACTGTCACATTGTAACTTGACATGCTAGGCTTCCTAGATCATGAGTACCATTATCAATTCAAGGACACTTTTAGAAGATGAAAACTAATCAAAAAATTGCACTTTTGACATTTTCACCCGAAAGTTTCTAGTTTGTGTAAATGTAAACAATCCCCTGAATCCCAATGAAAAAAATCAAGAGTTGAGGTTGTTTCCAGTTGAACCGGAAGTGACGAAACAAATATTTTTCTGACAATAAATACTTGCTACCCACCAAATTTCAAAATTGGAACTCCAATCATTCATTTCTCAATATATGCGTTGAAGATCATTCAAGTTTTGTATTCTAATTGAATAGGTAGTTAAATTAGGTGAGGTTCCATGTAAGTGGGGCGAATACCGCCCCTCCACTAATTGAATAGATCGATTAATAAATTCATACTAAATACTTTTCACATTCGTGTTATTATTTTCACTGAATCCGTGAGCTGGTCAAACATACGACTTTTTATTCACCCATCTCTGTGAGGTGAGTTATGGAATATTGATTTGAATAGTATAAACTTGTTTGAATTGCTTTTTTTAAGTATATTGTTTCTGTTCGGATTATTCAGAGGTTCATATTAATTAACATGTAAAATGAGCAACTGTTTTTATTCACCACATCCATAAGAGGTGAATAGGAAACTGCTATATCTAAATTCATGAATAAAACACATCCTATACATAATTTATTATATCTAATCTGACACATTTTTTGATATTTTTTGTAGCAAAACGACACTAGTTTCTTCACTACAACACTGAGAAGGTGTCGAAACAAACCACCTATCTCTGATTGAGGATACCGTTAACCGTTCTAGCCTGTAGTTCTAGCAGTGGAAGTCAACATTCGAGTTAAAAAACGGCATACATTTATTCAACTGTACTTAATTTGGAAACAAACATTATCTTGATAAGTATCATTCATGTGTCATAAGATGATGTTGGAATTTTGAAATGACCTTTGTAAGCGCATGCATCTTTACATCTTCCGCCTCAGTGTTAGATGCAAAGAATATTTTTTATTCGAGCGAAGCGATACCTAATATGGTTTAAGCTATCCACCCTGTTTTACGGTAGTTGAAGTAACATCAATGTTTATGCAAATTATCGTGAGAAAATATTCTCTTCGAGTATGATATTCCTGTTATAAAAATATAATTGCTTACTGATAAATAATTAAGTAATTCTATTCAGGTATGTAAGAAAGATCTTCTACTATTAGACTTCGAAGGTATATTGAAATACTTCAGAGTTTCATTGCCAAAAAAGTGCAGGACCGAAGAGGCAGCTAAGCAGCTCATCAAATTAGCTTGCAGTATAAAAGTAAAAAAATTGAAGAAATATGAAATTGAGTTCATGGCATTGAAGGGTGAGTTGATTATATTGTTTGTTATAGACTATAAACTCCCGTACTAATTTGAAAGGATCTGAACAACGTACATACATTAGACGAGTAGGTGCGAAGTTTGAAAATTCTTTGATCTCTGAAACTGAGCGCCATTGACCTTGAACCATCTAATACGTATTTTAAGATTTTGTAGATGTCGCTACGTATAAATGTACTCAAATTGTACTAGATCATGTGTTTCTCTGCTTTTATCCATGGACGTTTTTCGTTTTTATTTGTACTGTAGCACTGGAGTTTGTCGTGTTATCAAGAATTTTGTGGAAAACTTATCGTATGTGAAGTATTTTCATTTACTATGAATGTCCATCAAGAAACAGCCGAGTCAATACAACAATACTCACGTAATCCTTAAAATTAAATTTGAGACAAAACTCAATCAGTATTTAGATGTTCATGGAATGTTCTCAAAAATGTCATGAATGTTATTAAGTATGATATAGTTAGTGAAAAAATATTATTTAACCTTCAACCTTTTAACTACTTCTTACTTCTGGAGTAGCAATATTTTATAGGGTTGAAAAAAAATCTTGCAAGATTGTTCTAACTGATTTATTAGAGATTTTGAAAAGTAATAATGGTGACCTTATGGACAATTGATGTTGAAAATTTTTGTACCAACGTAAAGGTTGTTGGGAGAACAACCTTCCTAACCATTTAGCACATCAATTCTCGAACACTAAAGACAAGACCAAATGAAAAATGTCGTAATAAAAATACTTCACAACCACAGATATCATTACGTCTAAACAACAGCTAATCACAAAGAAAATACTGATAAAACACATGTTGACACTGTAATAAAGAATGTAATATTTACTTTCAAATAAACCAAAACTCCCATTAAACAGCACTCAATACATCGTTAAAAATAGATCTTGCTGAAAGGCTATAGTTCAAGTACGAAAGTTACCAATAAATAACCAGCTTGACAACATCGAGTCGTCTCGCTTATTACAGATTTTTCTCGTCCAAATCAGACCTTCACCCTACTTGAAAAGTATGAGGAAGAGTGAGGAAAAACAGTTGAAATTCTTCACTTGTGCATCTGATAGACGGGTTTTTGAAAAAAGCTTCAATTATTTTCCTTTACTTGTTCATTATGGAGTGTCTTGAACATCTTTGAAGTTTAACGCTTTTTATACCGGGTGTCCCAAGTTATCGTATAAAGGTAATAAGTCGCTTATTTGACAAGATAATTATAAAATTATAAAAACTACTTCGAATGACATTGAAGTACCTTCCGAATGATAAATAAATAGATACAAGCTCAAAATCATTCCCACAAATGTTGATAAAATGAACATCGATGGTAGATGGTGGGTGAAAAACAACTACTTTCTTGTCTAATACCACGCAGAGCATTACATCCTCCCGGAATCTAAGCATCGACACCTAGAGACCCGAGCTCTTTGGCTTTACAAAAATACACAAAAACTATGTAGGCAATTTAGAGTAAAATTCGCAGTTTTGATAAAATTATAAAAAAAATATGTAATTGAATAATCAAATGGGAGATTTGAATGGCAAAATGAAAAATCTCAGGAGGAAAGTTGCTACTTTGGAGCATGATATATCTCGAAATCCAAAATTTAATGGTAGGTAATAGATGGGATCCAAAGAGTTTGTAGAAAGCGTTGGTGATTAAATTTACATGTGGTTCATCTAGTTATGATACCTTATTGAAATTTCAATTAGACTTACCATCGCTGCGAACTTTGAATTGACGAATTTTTAACAATTTTGATTCGGGAGAATGAGACTGTTGTTTTTATTTAGATAAGATAGCAATACAATATTGTATAGCTTCTTCAATTATTGACTATGAAACTTTTAACAAAAACTTTTGGTGGAATTTATCATACCCTCTTTCCCACTCGAGGAGACGCCATGCACTCACCGGCAAAAAAAACCGGCCACCAAAGAATTTGCCCAAATTGTTCACCCTGTAACTCTTTTAATACTTGTCCGATTTTTGTAATATTTCGATCAAATCGTAGATTCATGTTCCGGAATGTTGGCTAAATATTATTTTCCCCGAAAAGCTGATCACTTGATCATTATGCAGGGAAAAACCAAAGTTACTCTTTCGACCTTTACTTCTTAACGCCCTATGGCGAAATTGAGTGGTTTAACTTGGCTTCTTCATGTTTTGGATTCAAGTGTGATCCTTTCTTGACACAATAGTTTTTGATTCATGTCATGATCTTATTTTTAAGAGAAGATACGAGTGTTTTAAGAAAGTATGTAATTTTTCAATTCTCATTAACAATAATCAGAACCTACATTTACTTATTGATTAACAACTTACGAAATCAATATCACTTAGATTAGATTAGATTTAGAATGAGGCCTTCGGGCTATCTGCCTCCACACCGCGACCTTTTCAGATCTATTGTGTCTGCCCTCAAAATCGATTAGAGTTCTTCGGCTAGCCCCGTCTTCTCTATGAGACTCCATAGGCTAGCTTTCAGATCCCCTGTGTATCTCTGGGCTTCTGGTTTTTTCTCACCCAGCGTAAGGAACCTTAGTCTTGACAAGCCCTCACAGTGGCAAAGTATGTGTACTGCTGTTTCCTCCTCTTCCTGACAGAACCTGCACATCAGTTCTTCAGTCAGACCTATCGTACTCATGTGTTTGTTGAGCATCAATATCACTTACTTCTACCTCTTTTTATTGGCACTTACCGAAAAAAACCTTAATTACAATAAACGCCAGACCTGGAGTGAATAACGAGTATGCCTTCCTCGAGTTTGAATTACAGCACGGCGGTTGACGTGGCATCGAGTAGATCAAATTTCTCAGGTTGTCATGAACAATTGCCGAGAGAATTGCCTAAATTGTCCTTGAAGGGCGAATCATACCTCTTGAAGAGTCTCTGACAAGGCCGGACGAAGACGAATGAGTCTCTGGAGTTCATCCCTAAGATGCTCTATTGGTTCTGAATTATTGTTAATAGAAATTATAAAATTCCATACTGTCTTAAAACACTTGTATCTTCATATTGTGTTCAAAACATGATGAAGCAGAAGGTTGGATAATGTTTCTGAATTATTGGTAGTAAAAATCTAAAAATACATACTTTCTTAAAACCCTTGTACCTTCTCTTAAAATGTGGTTATCAACGTGAATAAAAAACCATTGTGTTAAGAAGGGATCAGACATCAATCAAAAACATGATGAAGCTAAGTTTAACCTTTCCTCGACGGGGCCCATGGAAATTCCGTAGTCGCCGGCGCGGTGTAGGAGTGCTACCCCACTAGAAAATCGTACTTATGAGCAGAATTGAATGAATTTAGATTTACTTTGAAATGATATTTTATTCTGAAAATTAAATATAACATAGATAAAGAACATTACACGATATTTAATGGTTTGTACTAATTATTATGAGTTAGTTACTCATGGCTAATCACTCACAAACTCACAAAAACGTAGGATATTACTCGCAACAATACGTGTCTTCCGGTCACTGAAATCAATCTATCAAGTAGTACCTAGAATGCACCGATTTGTTTTGTATGACGCATGCGAGGAGTGGATAAGCGTGGTGAGCAAGTTGAAACATTTGAGCTGGAGGGGGTATGTCGCACACCCCAACGCATGAATCTCTATCTAACGTTCAAAATATTCATGAGACCTACAATATCTAATCATTATATTGTCGGAAATGCATCGTTTGAGGATTAGCTATGAGGAAAAGCACGAATCTGTTTTTTACAAAGTTACAAGGAATAACGTGAAGTTGGGGTATGCGGCATACCCCTCCCCGTCACGGAAAGGTTAACCACTCACCTTTGCCACAGGGTGTTGAGAAGGTGAGGGTGAAAGAGTAACTTTTGTTTTTCCCTGTATAATGATCAAGCCATCAGCTTAGGTACTAATATTGAGGCCAACATTCTGAAATATTAATTTACGATTCGGGCGAAATTTGACCAAAATCGGACAAGAATTAAAAACGTTAAATGGCGAAGAACATTGAACTGAATTTTTTGGTGGCCGGTTCTTTTGCCGGTGAGTGTATATGGATGTACTCTTTCCTGAACATGTAGACTTAAATGTAGAGGAAGGTATATGAGAGAAGCCTTTTTTTAATGCAAAGACATATTATTGTTCTTGTTTCGCAAAATATTTGATCTACTTCAGTGCAAGTCGCGTTTCCGTACTCTAATTATACAAAAACGTCAAAACAAAAGTATCAAATACCTACGTTAAGAAAATCTATACACCGAGCAATTAAGCATTTAGGACATAAACACTTGCAATCAGTATTCATTTAGACGAATCGTTACATAGATTTCATAAATTCAATGTTCTGCTTGTCATTATAGTAAGGGAAGTAGTTGTTTTTCTGTTGTTCTCAATTTCAATTATCATTAAATTTGTAGAAATGAATATGAGTTTTTCCTCACAGTTTGGTCACACTCTGACTATGATATTTGAAATGTGAACGAAATTTTCTCTTGTTGCTTTTCAAATGTGAAACAGTAGTTTCCGTATGAAGCTCTCTTGATTCATTCAAGAATAATTTCGTAGCCATCTTTCAGTATGAAATTTCACTACGAAGTTTTCTCGATCCATCTAAGAATAATTGCATAGTCCATCTTGAGGAGCGGTCACATAGTAGAACAGGCGTAAAAGCTGTATGTGTGTGCTCCTCTAGACAGCTGGGAAATAATCAGTTTGGATACAGAGGCTGCAGACAATGCGGAGAAAGAGGCTAGCGAAGTGGAACAGCTCCGGGAAACAGTTTTGAGATACGAGGAAGAAAGGAAGTTGATGATGGATGAGATTAGTCAGTTGAAAGAGATTCTGAAAAGGGAAGTGAACCAGGCGGAATCCGATAAGAAGAACAATATGGCAATTATCAATGATTATCAGGTGATACGGCAGAGGATGGATACACAATTACAAACATGTAAAATGGCGCTTTCTAATTATAAGGTAAGTTTTGTGAGATGCTTAAAAAAATGAAATGTCTCCCAAGAACGATATACTCACAAATCCCTCTTGACAACACTTGATTTGAGTTTGATTGAATGTTCATTTTATCACATTGTATAAATCATTTTCGACAATGGATGTGTCGGATAACTGCTAAGAACTTCAAGAACTAGTAGAGCTTTTGTTGATTTCACGATGATTCTATTAAACAATAATAGTAATATCACTTCTCAATTTTACAAAAATACAATTCATTTGGTAAACCAATTATAATCTACTCTTGATTAAAGACAATTTATTTCGTCATTTGTTCCTATGGAATACTGACGACTGACGATCATAACAGTACATTTATGTGAGTCGGCTCTAATATATTCTACAGCGAGTATAGACATACGTTCTCACTAGAGTCACTGGATGGTATTAATTAGATAAGAGTTCGGACACAGAAATGACAACTGTTAGTGTTTATGAATGTTTAGATTTATTAAGTTACACACCTTGCATTGTGACAACAGCATCATAGTCGTTCCGCGCTTTTTCCTTCGAAAATGTTTGAATTTGACAATAAACTTCATGAGCGTCAGAATTGAAATATAATTTCATAAACTATTGAGAAAAAAGCGTAAATGAAAATGTCTTGTTGTTTAATGAATTTCGGGAATTCTGGAGGAAATGGCGATTTCATTTCTTTAATTTTCCAAAGAAAATATTAACCATTCCCTTATGGAAGGAATGTATGAAACGGCCTGGATGGAAAATTAATTTAAAGTTAGGCCCATTTTCAAACAGACTATTGAAAAAAAAATCAATATTATCATCACACGAAATACGAAACAAAATTAGACTATAAGTATATCCATATGTGTCTATTTTGTCATATTAAAATGTTGTTTTGTGAATTCTTTTCATTTTTATAACTATTGTTCTGCGAAAAGTGTATCGCTATATAAATTGAAGTGGGTGATTATACCCTATTTCTATTTTCCATCTACGACAATGATTGATTTGACAGAAAATCTAACCTCTTAAATCGTATCTGAAGGTAATCAAAGAAAACTTTGGGATACGATAAACTATTGTTTGAGAGGTTCCACAAAATCAAACAGAAATAGTGATATTGAATCGATAAAAATTAATGGTTACATTGTCAATAACGAGCCGGGATTGGCGCAGTGGAAGAGCGTCCGTCTCACGACCGCAAGGTCGTGGGTTCGATTTCCAGCACGGGCAAGGAACTTTTTTCAATATTTTATTTACGAATTAAATATTGTAAAGTTTCGGAGCATCGGCTGGGGATAGTCCTGCACGATTTGCTGTTGCGTTCCAATTAACAGTGCTGCTCCTAAAGTGGCGCATGGAGTCAGTAACAAAGCCTACACAGAACACGCAGAAAGATATGATGATGTGGTTGTGAGCATCAGAGAAGAAGTAGGACGGTGTATGTAGGTGGGTGTGGAAAAACTACCAGCTGAGCGTGAGAGCGGGCCAGCTGCTTAAGTAGACCTCGGTCTCGGGGGTTAACGATGATAGTTAGCAGGCCTGCCACTGCGCATATGGTAGTGAGTACATTACTAGCCTACAAAACACAGCTGAAAAACTCTGAAAAGAGAGCTGATGGGCGGTGCCTGAAAAGGATGTTAGCCAGCTCTCTTGAGCGAACCACATCAGTCATTGAAAACACTCGGGGTTTGCAAAAAGGTCCCATTGGGGACTAGTTGCTGACGTGGAAACGTCCCCCACCAGTACCAGTACCAGTTGTCAATAACGATCTAGAAATAGCCAAAATTATGAACAGTAATTTTTCGAGTATTGGTGAGAATATAGCAAAGGAAATGAAATGTCTACAATATAATGATTCCACAATGCTTTTGTTTCCCACTGATGAAGGCGAAATTTTTTCTATAATTCATGATTCAAAAAAGAAATGCCCTGATCCAGAAGGTTTGATTACTAAAGACATATTTGAATTGAGATACATTCTAGCTACACCAATATCAAAATTGATCAATGAATCTTTCATAAAAGAAAGTTTCCCACACAAATTGAAACATGCATCAGTAAGAGCTATTTACAAAAATGCAGATGCTCAGAATCCAACTAACTATAGACCAATAGCTTTGATAAGCATATTTTCTAAAATTTCTGAAAAAATTCTCAAGAAACGCGTTGTGGAATTCATCAACTAAAAATATAGCTTTGATTCTAATCATTTTGGTTTCCAAGAAAACAGTGGAACACAAGCAGCAGCATTACAAGTAATAAAATCAATCCAGAGAGGACTTGATTCAGGAAATTATGTGGTAGCTGTTTTCATTGATCTCAAGAAGGCTTTTGACACAGTTGATCATACAACACTTTTAGAAAACTTAGAAACAATGGGACTCAGAGGCACTGTGAGAAATATTTCGAATTCATATCTTGAAAATAGCACAATCAATACAAAATCAACCAACTCTGTGTCAAATAAACAATTAATAAGGGTGTCCCACAAGGCTCTGTTTTAGGACCTATACTATATTTACTTTATGTTCAAAGTATCAGTGAAATTGGTCTAGCGAGTAAATATACCATGTATGCAGATGATACAGTACTTCTATATGAAGGCAAAAATCCTTCAAATTTAGAAAATATGATAAATGAAGACTTGAAAATATTTGAAAAATGGCTCCACTCCAACCTTTTATCGATAAATTCTAATAAAACAGAATATATGATCTTTCACCAAAAAAATAAACAAAAAATTCACCTCAACCTCAAAATAAAAAATGAACTCTTAAAACAAACTGACCAGATAAAATATCTTGGAATTTGGTTTGATGACAGTTTGAAGTGGGACAAAAATATTGATGTTTTGACAAAGAAAATATCTCCAATTATTGGTGCATTGAGAAGATGTCCCAAACTTGATATTAAAATTGCAAACATGATTCTCTACTCTCATATACTGAGTCTTATCAACTATTTAATAAATGTTTGAGGATCTTGTTCGAATAATAATTTCAATAAAATATCAACATCATATAGAAAATCGTTAAAAATATTGTATCGTCTCCCATTTGATACATCAACTAATCAATTGTATGAAGTAAAAAATACGTATTCGTTAGATGAAATATATAGAATTGTAACTCTTGAAATATCATATATCATAAATAAAAAATTGAAGTCGAATATTATTTTGATACGGAATTCTGAAATTCATAATCATGAAACTAGACAATATAACTTGTTTCATCTTGACGCCGCTATCTCCATAGTCGGACAAAAAAGATTCACTCATTCAGCCTTAACTGAATTCAATAAACTACCTGGCAATATAAAAACTGCAGAAATATAGGTACAGGGTGATTCACCATAAATGTCCCCCCCTCTAGTTCACTCATTTTTCAACCGATTTAAAATTTTGAAAAATCATCCAGAATGATTTTTTAGAATTTTTTTTCCCGTTGCATCAGAAAATACAGGGTACTCGGAACGAACGATCGGTTGAAAAATAAGTGAGCTAGAGGGGGGGACATTTATGGTGAATCACCCTGTACATTCAGAAATGAGGTGAAAAAACTGATTATTTCTGAGCGAACTGGATACAATTAATCAAGCCATTTTACTATGTTTTTCTACAAATATTATTCTTTGTTCGCCAATTTATAGTTGTTGATATATTTTGAATGATGAAATGTTTACCTATAGGTATATAATTATGTTCTTCCTTATACCAGAGCCTATTCTGTCTGGAAGTTATTTGTTCAATAAATAAAATGAATAAATAAATAAATTGTAACATAGAAAATTGAAATGGACAGAAGTTCAGCTGTGCCCGAAGTCTTATCTAATACCATCCAGTGACTCTAGTTCTAACAAGATCACATATCACCCAACGACCAGATACGAATGATTTGATGTCACCTTTGATGTTCGATGGCAATCACGATTGGAAAAAATATTGGGTATTTTCTTCTTCGATTCTTGGCAATGAAACATTCACCAAAAACTCCGAATTTGCTACCCATGTTTTGGTCGTTATGCTGGATGTAATTTATTCTTCCACTCGAGGAGACGTCATGCATTCTCATTAAAAAATGAAAGACAAAAATATATATAATATGGATGTATGTACTCTTTCCTGAACATGTAGAGGAAGGAAGATGCGAGAAGCCTTCATCCGAGCAGAAACATATTCTTGTCCTTGTTTGTTAAGCTCTGGAATTAATTGCCTAATTAAGTATTCCCAAGAACTTATAATAATCTCCAAGAGAAAACAAGAATCCAAAGCAAATTTTGGGCAACCCAGGTTACCAAAAAACGCTCGGACCCATAAATTTTCGGATTTGGAGGTATTTTCACATAGATTATAGCCCATTGGTTTTACATTGCTACTATCTAGGTAGCCCATACAGTGGCTTACCAAAAGTAAAGACCACCTTATAAAAATTAACTATTGATATCCACATTGAGAGTTGAAAACGCAAGATTGATCAAGTCCAACCATAAATTAAACTCGTCTATCCATTTACATAGTATCAATTTACATAGGCCACATAGTTTTTCTCAGTCATTAGCCTTCAGGGCAATCCGGCAAAATTTTGAGATTTTTTACTTTTGCTCACGCTCTAGTAATGCCAGTCGCCAACTGGTGAAACTGAAAATATTAGCCCTCATTGTTACAAAAAAAAACATTTTTTGATTAACAATGTGAAAATTATGCCAAGGTCGTCTTATACTTTTGGTGAGGCACTTTATGGGCCACGTGTAGCGGGGGTTATAAGCTAGCAAAAATACCTTCTGAATAAGATCTCATTTGACCCCCATTGAAGATTTTAGGGGCGAGTTTCAGCCTGGCTAGAGGGTTTCCGTTCAGGGGGTGAAACTGTCAAAAAAATGATTTTTCCTAAAATCAAAAATTATCGGGTCCGAGCGTTTTTTGATAAATGACCTGGGGTGTCCAAAAATTGACTGTTTCCTCTTCGAATGGCCAACCTGTATAAATTTTGTTGGAGGTGAACCTAGACTATCTTGTAGTTTCCTAAACCTAGCTGGACTGCCTTGAAAGAAGGAATAGTCTTATAATTATACATATTGGAAGCAACTTTTGCTGTGTTTTGATGAAAAATACATACTTATACCGGATTAAATTTTGTATCTTTTCCGCTGACATTTCAATCAGTTTTCTTTTCAGAATACATTAATCAAAAATACATTACGATACAGATAATTTGGCTAACAAAAGCATTTGGTATTTATTATTTCGTCCCCCATAATGGGGTATAATAACTTTCAAAATTGTATTCATACAATGAAGCTAAATGGTTTCAAAATATGTAACAAAATGAATTATAAAAACGCAAAAAGGGTAACTACTCAATCAATTATAGGCAAGTGTTGTTAAAAAAGGTAAAAACAAAAGAGAAGAAAATTATGAAAAATAATTGTGTACTTAATCAATCCTTATTCAAACAAAAATTTGAAGAAGCCAGTATAATGACAGAAATTAATTTATTTGAACTTTTGATATCATCAATTCAAGCGAGTAAAGAAGAGGCAACAAATTCATATAAAGTGAAACTCAGAGATGGAAATGATTGGATAACTAAAGAATTCTTGAATCAATTGAAAGTGAAGGATAGGCTATATAAATTGAAAATAAATAATCCATTTGTTGAAATAAATCAGGCTCAAAAAAGAATATTTTGAAAAACAATGGAAAAAAACATCAATGATATTGTTAAGGGAAAATTAGTAAAGAATGAAATAGAATATATTGAACAGAATGAGGAAAAAAAATTTGATACCAAAGATGTACCAAATAAAAAGGCAGCACCAGGACATGATCAAATTGATACAAGAGACATAGGTACTGACATTGAGAACGACCATACGGCCAATATTGGTTTTCCAAATCAACGAAATTTTTCTATCCATAAATACTCAAAATTGGTTAGTAAAGTCATTCCAGGAAAAGATTATTGAACAATAGCCCTCAGGAATAGTTAACCGTAAACACGTGTTTCGGGCTTTTGGTGCTCATCAGTACATTGAAACAAGTGCAAAAGATAGGCAACACTTGGTGGAAGACGAAACATCAAACCGACGGAGTCATCAAACAGAAGCCAGCCGCACAATTGTGGTTCCGGTCAGAAGACTCTGCATTTTCAGGGCTACAACTAACGTCACCACGGAGGCAGCTATAGCTGCCTGCGTGACATTCGAATCCAGGAGTAGAATTAAGATGGAAGGAATATTGAGGAAACTGTTTTGAGCAAACTAGGAAAAGATTATTGAACATAGCCCTCAGGAACACAATTGTGCGGCTGACTTCTATTTGTTGACTTCCACCAAGTGTTGCCTATCTTTCGCACTTGTTTCACCGTACTGATGAGAACCAAAAGCCCGAAACACGTATTAACAGTTAAATATTCCTGAGGGCTATGTCCAATAATCTTTTCCTAGTTTGCTTAACACAGTTCCCTCAATATTCCTTCCATCTTGAAGTCATTCCATTACATAATCAGGCTCAACCACAGAGATTGGCAATTATAGACCTGTTACAATGTATCAAAACTAATTGAAAAAATAATTTAAAAACGTATCATAACATTTATTGATCGATGTAAAATTTGATATGTGCCGATATGGTTTTCAAGAAAACAGTGGCACCCTCAGTGCTACCATAGATTTTGTAAATTACATTTCATCCGAGCTCGATAGTCAATATTTTGTGCTTACAGTTTTCATAGATTTACGGGAGGCTTTTGATGAAGTCAATCATAAAATACTCCTGAATAAAATAGAAAACTTGGGTATCAGAGGGATTCTGTTAACATAACTCACAACATATTTACTAAATAGAAAACAATATGTTTGCCTAGGAAACATATGGAGTAAGACTCAAGAAACTAATTATGGAGTGCCTCAAGGATCGGTTTTGGGTCCCTTAATAAGGGTGAACAATGATTTGGAAAAATGCCATGGATGGTTGATGAAAAATAAACTACAAATTAATTCGAAAAAAACTACTTATATGCTTTTCAAGCAGAAAAATATTAACCCAATTGATATACAAATAAGAATAGAGAATGAAATCATAAATAAAGTGGACAATATGAAATATTTATGATTATTCTTGGATGAAAATTTAAACTGCAGCGTACATGTATATCGAAAAACAAAGTGATGCCAATGATTGGGACACTCTACCGATATAGGGATTACCTAAATGATAAGATAATGAAACAAATTTATAATGCCTATTTCTTGCCAATATTTAGCTACCTAATACCAGTCTGGAGCGCTTGTGGAATAACATTAATGAATTAAATACAGAGGATCCAAAATAAGGTAGTGAAAGTTTCATTCATGTTCAGTTACAGAACATCAACAGATGTAGTTTACAAAGAAACTGGTTTTCTTCGAATAGCACAAATATTGAAAATTGAGCAGAACAAATTTTTGTACAAAGTGATTAAATGATCAATTCTAGTACAATTCGCAATTAGATATTGTCGCGGGTGCGCCCTCCTAGGCGGAACACCCTGTATCCATATATGCTTCCACCTTCACTCAACTAACGACGGTGTGCTGTCCTGAGTCAGCAGGATGCTCAGCGTGCGGGGCACGGAGGGAGACCACTTAGCTCAAGCCCACGTCAATTATTTGATTGCAATGAGAATGCATTTTGTATAATTAACAATTCAGTTGTACTGTTACCACATTACCACATAACTCGTAACATCTATCAGTCAACTCCCCAATACACCATTTTTGCCGAAACTGCTCCCTTCATTGAACTACTATAGCTACGACCCCATACCCCTACGTCACAATATGGTAAACAATATACACTCGCATGTTACCAGAATACAAAATACTTTATACATTATTAATGTATGAACAAACATAGCATTGAACAGCCCACTGAACAAATGCATTAAAACATTCAACAGTCTACCACAGTATATTAGATATATTCCTAACTTAAGCCAATTTAAAAATAAAATAAGAATGTATGTTCGAGAGGAAGATTTATAGTTTTTTATGACGAATGGGTGATTTTAAATGTGTCAGAGTTGAAACAAAAAATTTATTTTGAGAAGTTATTATGTGTAGGTAATTCATAAGTTTTAATATGTATTTTTGTGATTGTGACTTTAAACCGTTCAGTATTGAATACGTATTTTTTGTACTTTGTTCCGGAACCAGCACTTGGATGCTGATTGGGAAACGATTTTAGTTCAAATGATTCTGATTTTTATTGTATTGTTTGAATAAAAAATACATCTCCAATCATGTAAGTTTTGATTTTACATAACCTTATTTTCTCACGAGACTGATGATGTTTCATGTTTCTCCAACCCATAATTGTGAAAATATATCTTGTGGAGATCACTGAGTGTTTTACTACTTGAGAACCACTAATTCCAATTTGAGGATGGACTACTTCATGTCATTTTGTTATCAGATGACGGTCGAGATATTATATTAATAATCACTGTTTGTAAACGTAGGATTATTATAACAATTTAGCGATATCATTTTCAACCTGGAAGTATTTGTATAATTCTCTTGTAAACCGTGTACCAAATCAACTGTATCGTAAGGAATCAACAGATATGTATTTTTTGTTAAGGTATTTTGCAATGGAAACTGATGAAGTGTCAGCAGAAAATATTCTGAATTTATTCAGCTATAAGTATGTCTTCTATCAGAACACTGAACTTTATAATACCGTTCACTGGTGATAGGTATTTTTTTATCTCTTGGAGCGCAGGAAAGGAAATTGCTATAATGTCCGAAGAATATCGTGCACACCTAGGGAGGATAAGGAGAGAATGTATTTGTTTTTTGAACTTTTGGAGGTTATAAGTTCTTGAGAATACTTGCATTGACAAAGAATTCCAAAGCTTTGTATATTGATAAATCAAGTAATGGCAAGAAAGACGCAATAGTAGATACACCCAACGTATGCTCGGAACATGTTTCTTTAACCCATAATTGGGAAAATATATTTCGTTTAGGTGACTCTGTGTATCTTACTATCCTGAGAAGAACATTATAGAAATTCCCATTCGTGCGCCCCATGACATTACAAAAGAAATATTGAAAAATATCACATTCGTGTCCGGTAAATCGCACAAAATACCACGATTTGATAACGAGATTAGAAATATTCCATCCGATTGAACGGTAGATCTTAACGCCAGGTGATAAAAAGTTGAAACAAAACGCAAATAGAAGGAGATAGTGCCTTCTCTGTGAATATAAATACTAGCGTTAATATTTCCAAGAATTTTTCACCCCTGTCGAAAGATAATATCGGATATAACAGAACATCGAACCGATGGACCGGATATTATATTGTAATTTGCTACTATCAATAGTTTTTCCAGACTAATACTGCAAAGAAGTAATTTACTGATGTGTTCTTCGATGAATTTCTATTTTACGCACAAATTTGTCATACATTGAACCTCATGCATCATAATCATGTTCTTATTTTTCAACTTTTTTAGCTGATAACTTCTAGTTGTGAGAACTGTTCTTCAAATCTAGCAAAATCTAATTCCGAACATAAATCGCCATCTGAGGACCAAATCAGTAACGAAGAAAGACTTAGAGAACTAGAATTAGAATTAGCCCAAACCAAACTGGCGCATGTTGAAGCAGAATGTCGTAACCAGGTAAATATTTAATAAGATTTTTTGGCGAATTGGCTATTTATAATTAGGAAGAAAAATTTGCCTTGTTACAGAATAATTATATCCTAAGGTATTAGTGTGTTTTCAGGTGAACATTGGTGTCCTTAATAACGTTTCAAAAGTTCCCGATTTGGCAGTAATTTGAACGTCAAAAATCTTGCTCCGAAATGTTTTCTTCATGGCTGTAGGTGAGCAGTGTATATCACTGAAGATGATCCTACTTGGTCATTGAATGTATCAGTGAATGTCCTGATTTCGAATCCGTATCTCATTTCATAGAGGTGCACTAATCCTATTCACATATAGGCCAGAGTAGCTTCGTGGTTGAAGCGTCAGTATTCTATCCACTTTGGATTGCCGGTAGGTGGGTTCGATTCCCACCACGACTGCAGAAATTTTTCTAATGGCCTAAGAAAGTGTTTGGGATCACACGTTATTCCTTGCTTGCACAAGTCTCTTGAAGACTTCGAAGGGTTGCTCGTAAGGGGGCAACCGAATGATGGATAAAAACAATTTAAGAACAACAACAATCCTATTCACTTCGACTATCAAGTTGAAAACAGCCTTGAAGGGTTTTTGAAATTCACAATTTAGGAGTCATTTTTGACCTCAGTTATAGAAGGTGTCCCAATATTGCTGGGACACACAGGTATCACGTGTAATACAGGTCAAAATAAGTTGATTGAACCCAATTTTTTTACATAACGAAATGTACCGTTTGTCCGTGAGACGAGTTCAGAGTTTCTATAGAAAAATACATTTTTGTACGTTGTTCAAGAATAAGTGATTACCCTTCATTCGGTGATCAAAGAAGCCCAAATGAAATTGTGGAAGGGTTGAAACCACACTCACCCCCTGACATTTTCTTTGCTCATAACATACGGTTCTCAAATTATCTAAGCGAGATAACTGATTAATTAATCTTGTGAAAATTTCGTATTCCTCAAATTTCCAAAGGAAAAAAAGTGTTTTCCTAAATAATGCTAACATAAATTCGTAGTATAAAAGTTTAAAATCACTTTGATAAACAATTTAGTTGAGAGTGGGAATAGAGATAGAACTTTTTTTAAATGAATGTGCTATATGACACTCACCTTCATCAATACAAATGTCAATTCCTTCGTTTCCACTGCCAACTTATTTTGTATCACAATGTTATCAAACTTTGACTAGCAAAACCCTTTCACCCACTAAGAATGTTCTGAGGAAAACTTCAGAGGGTGAGGGTGGTTTCAACTCTTCTACAATTTCTTTCGGGTTTCTTTGATTACTGAAAGAAGGGTTATCCTCTAAATGCACATTTGCCAAATTTCATCCAATTCGTTTCACTCATTTCTGAACAGCGTACAAAATATGTGTTTTTTTATCTAAACTTTGAACTCGTCTCACGGACAAACGGTACATTATTTTATGTAAACAAGTTGGGTCCAATCAACTTATTTTGAACTGTATTACACGTGTTAATAATAATAATGATGATAAAAATAATAATCTTTATTTCAAGGAACGTTATGCAATAAATTGAATTTAACACAAAACATTGAATGAAAAAACGTCACAAAAATGGTACGTGTACCTAATATTTACAGTATAAAAAATCATGTATTTCACATGTACAACATTTAAATGACATAATTATTACATACTATTATAGTTGTGCTGTTATAAATTCATCCACAGTATAAGGCTCTATTTCCATTAATAATTTAAAAATAAATTGTTTTCTTGAAGATATTTAGTGTTTTTATTTCTTGAACCTCAACTGGCAGCTTCATGAAAAATCTCAAGCAACAGTATTTTGTACTCTTTTCTGTGAGTGTCAGTCTGTGTATTGGATAGTTATAAATTACTGATCTTGTACCATACAATCATTGAAGAAATGTTTATTTTTGAAGAAGAATAGCAAACACTCTTGTATAAATATTGCACTAGCTGTTAGAATTCTATTTTGTTCAAATTTTCCTCTACACGTTTCCAAGTTGGTAGCTCTGCGTCCCAGCAATTTTGGGACACCCTGTATTTTACACATCATATTAACTCCAGTCAGTAAATCTTTTCAATTATCAGCTTTCATTTCAAGTTATACAAAAAATATATGTTATGGCTTTTAGAAAGAGTGCTTACATTTTTGAGGTTTATAGCATTTAAATGAATCTGTAACATGGCGAATACGATAATATGCAGGTTATGCAAGATTAGTATTATACATAACCAGTGTGGAAATTGACATACCTCGCACAGGTGACATGTAACGAGGACATGAAATACACTTTCCAAAACACAAATACAGATTTTAAACATCTCATTGTTTCAAATATAACTTGTTATATGTGTTTTATCTATGTTAAAATTAATCTAACTTATTATTTGGCAAATAAATTTTTTTTTCGAATTGTTCTATCCGTCATTCGGTTGTCCCTTACGAGGAACCCTCAGAAGTCTTCGAGAGACTTTTGCGAGCAAGGAATGACGGGGGCCTTACCTTTCTACTTATGATCCCAAATACTTGATTGAAAGTGATGTAGTTTGGATATCATATTTTTTATTGTATTCGACGTTTTCCTCGTTGTTGAGAGCTTGGTCGAGAGCTACCACGCACCTCGTAACCACGTAACCAAAAATATAGTGCCGAGTCACGACGGTGTATGGATATCCGGACCACACCGGTGTAGACCCGAGCCACACCTTTGTATGACAGCATTGACAGTAATGAGGTTATGTCACGCAGATTATGACAAAATGACAAATACCGAAACCTAAACAAATATGGGTTGCGTGCAAGAACTGTCAGATGACCGACGCTGGAGGCAAAACATTGAAACACAACGTTACTTTTCTTATTTGTTTACAAGTGATCGAAATAGTTTTACACAATTATTTTGGCATATATGAATCGTATTTTTCCGCTATTCATCAATTCGCTCATGCCATCACATTGTGCTGTTGTAAAATGCACAAAAACTGCAGCGGAAGATGAAGCAATCCGGATGGTACATTATGATTTAAAAGTAAGTATCTACTAGGTGTAGTCACTCACATATAGTTTTCATTTTTGAAATTTTGTTATTTTTCTGATTTCTTATCGGAATTCCTTCTACAATAGGAGCTTATAGAAATACACCTGAAATTTCTGAAATAATGCAAGAAGATTGGATTCATGCAATCAATCGGGAGGACTGGTCTGACATGATGAAGATCGTGTGTGTTGAAGACATTCTCAATCTATTAGCAGCATTAGCTTGTATTGCAGAAGTGGCAGAAGGCAGAAGGAAATTTAATAAGGAATTACAACATTTCATAATGATAACTATGTGAGATTACTATTTACCTGGAAAATCATATTCCTCAGTCTCTTGCTGCATTTTTTTGTGCATTGTACAACAGCACAATGCGAAGGCATGCTTGAATTAATGAATAGCGCAAAAAAACACGATTCGTATGCCAAAATATTGTGAAAAACTATTTCAATCCTTTGATTCCTCTGTAAACATATGAAAAAGTGAGGTTGTGTTTCAATAATTCACAGAAGAGTGAGGTTGTGTTCAATATTTTGCCTCCAGGGTCGGTCATCGTGCACGCGACCTATTAGTTCTCATGGGGCAAAATTCGAACTCTAACGAAAATGAATGCTATGGTGATATGAGATACTTTCTGAGCAACAACACAGTGTGCTATTATGCTGCCTTCGTAGGTGGTCGTAGGAAAAAGAATAATAATAATAATAATAATAATAATTTATTTACCAGAATATAATATGGGCAATGTACAAAAAATTTCCATAGACAAAAATTATCACAAAATTTGATACATAGGTATATTAAGAGAGACGGTAAATAAATTTGGATGCCACTAAAGGTAGACCTTGAAAGTGGTTCTAAATTCATGACGTCTGATACGTGTATGTTTGGGGTTACTTTTAATATATAATTCCCTACCTATATGCCAATACAGTTAACATGGTAACCTAAGACTAATAATTTATATTTTTCATAGTTAAAACAGGTTATATGAAATGAAAGATGAAGTGAAGGAATGATTTAAAGAATGCATACAATTATCATTGATGAAATTTCAAATTCCAAATAAGAGTCAGCCCGCGTAAGAATCATTCTTGATGAGCTGGATTGAATCACAGGGTCAGCTTGAGATTATGTGTTTTATTATGCTATGTGTTATGTGTTTTGGTATGTGTTATGATGTATTACTACTGTGGATCAGTTGATGAATTTCTATTCTTGGCTTTTCTTTCATCCACTTTTTTATTCTAATTTTGAATTGTGAATTTGAATGAAGGTTCCTCAGCTGCAATGGCAATTTATTGAATAGTCTGGGACCTAAGTAGAAATAGGACTTTTGTAATATTTTTTTTTTGATCTTGGTACTTTATTGAACCTAGCTTTAGTGCGTGTATCATAGTCATGCGATATAGCTATGAGGTCCGATTTATATTTGTGTTGCCTTACTACTATAGTTAGAAAGTACAACTGTCTCAAGTCCATGAATGCTGTTTCTGAGTACAGCAGATCAGAAGAATAAAGGCGAGGCTTTTTATATATGACTTTTATGATGCAATTTTGTATGACTTCAAGGCTTCTGATATGGACGTTGTTCGTAGCTCCCCATGCGATGATACCATAGCAAAGGAGACTTTCTGCCAGAGCATGATATAGAATTCGTAATTGTTCCATTTTCAATAATTTAGAGAGGCATTTGAATTTATATAGAGTGCACCTTAATTTTTTGGTCACATAATTGATATGAGAATCCCATCTGAGATGACTATCTAAGAAGATGCCTAGATATTTGAGTGAGTTAACTGACCGTATGTTCAATAACGTGCCATTTCTGTGTACAGATAGTGAGTCAAATTCAGGTAAGTTGTTCGAGTAGGATGTGAAAGGGATATAATGAGTTTTGCCGAAGTTGATGGTTAGCAATCGACTGTCAAACCATTCTGTTAATTTTTGGAAGTCCGTTTCTGC